ATTAATAGAGTTTCTACTTGCCGCCGGTCTTTGACTCTAAAATGAAAAATAAAATATGAAATCCAAAACCACTATGCACCCCAAAATATAGTGCAGATTGTCATTTTTTGAATAACTCAGGGGGAAAACAATATAGAGGCTTGCGGTTTTCATCATTTACTAGCCAGAACCTGAAACTATGTTTTATCAACAACACACTGCCAAACTTGATGTCTTTTTGCGCACGTTGTTGTTAAGTTTTCGAAGTTTCTATGCTTGATGCGTGAAATGCAACACAAAATCATGTATTTACTGAAAACGTAGTCCAACAACCCGGAATCACCTAATACCTTTAAAGAACTGGTGTTTACGCTCAGAAGTCAAGCATTGTATATATTTTTGAGGCCCAAAGAGGTGCATTTGACGTGGTATATGCAATAAAAAATGGAACTTCTGTTTGATACTATCTGGATACAGTGTTTTGAATAAACGATTGTGCTGTAATATAATTTGTAAAAGTTTATCTGCTATGAGGGATTAATATGATATAGCATTCGTAATAGTCAGATCTTCTAGGAACAATTAACAATTAGAACAGTAAGTATGATATTACGAATGCTATATCGTATTAATCCCACATAGTGTTTTTTATATACTGGACTTTATTAAAATTTGAAGCGTGATCATCGTTCTGATCTCGTGTGCAAAAGATTGGGTGCTGCGTGTGATTCTGCGACATTGAAATATGATTTACTAGATAGAGTAGTTGGTAAGTTAAAAATAAACATCTGTTCTGACTGTGCTGTAACACTTTCCGGTTTTGTTTTAGGTGATTTTCTTGATGGTATTAAAACATTGTGTACAACTGGTTTACGTGTTATGAGTGCTGGAATAGAAAAAAATTATTTTGGTAGCCTGTTCTTACTCTTGGCGACTATCCTGCTCAGCAGTCAATTCACGGCAGAAAGATTGTGTTTCAGCCAAAAGTTCTGCCCTTGTTGCGATGTTGCGGCTGATAGCTATATTGATTCGATCGATCAGGTAATCAACTCATCATAAATTGAATACGAACCGAAAATCAACAGTAATATTTTATAGGTAGCTTCTCATTATTCAGCACAAGTTTATGAAACTGCCTGTAAACAATCGAAAATGCGGTGGAAGGTGGCGTTAGTCATAATATTGAATTCTGGTAGAAAGTTTTTGGTATTATGAAGAGAAGCACTTTCTCAAGTCTGTCGCATTTTGACGTTACGATGCAAGTATTATTTGATCCTATGCACATTTGGTTACAAGGTAAGCGTTTCAAGTCACACAAATACTGTTTTCTCTTAAGTATTAACACCGGTGAAATACATGGCAAGTGGATGATATGTATCGGCCGGATGCACTGTCCGTATTGGTAGTCCTTTCTTGTATACCAGTGCATGAATTTTCTGAAATTAAAAACTACATGTTTTATGGACAAAATAGGTTAAACGAGTATCTTACCGTTCTAAGTGCAGCACGAGACTGGCATGATCCATGCACATGTCCGCCAACGGTTTTGATTCCTTTCAACAGAGTATTGATACGTGGGTCACTGATAGATGAAATTTTATCTTTGTTAAGATTAGCCAAAGCCGTTTGAATCTCGTTTGGTGTTAATGTTTGTAGTTGATTCACGACGTTTTTGAAATACGATCTTGAAATCATTAATCGAGCATTGAAGCAGGCGTCTCGTTTTTGAAGCATATTGAATACAACAAACATAAACGAATGATGTGTTTCGAATCGTTTGTCTTGATATGTTAACAGATACTGAATGTGTTTTCTGAATGCAACTTTAATGGGCCGGCTGAGATCTTCGATGGCACCACATCCGTACGGGAACAATGTGGGGAACAAGCCCAGTAATAGATTTGGCTTGAAATACTCATTCGCCGGTTTTGATGAACCTAAAATGTCAAGCGAAATGAAGTTAACAATGATATTTCGGAAAAGTGGAACATACGAGGTATGACGTAGTTTTTTCTTTGCTGCAAACATTGTTATTGATAAAAGAATATGTATGGAAGGTGTTCATGTTTGCTCATAAATTTCTTTTGTTTGTAATTGTTTTGTAGTTTTTCTCATCAGAAATATACGTATTGTACAGCTTGTAAAGTAACTGAAATCTATGGTAAAGTGTTTTAATTTGTTTGGAAGTACGAGAGCTAACTAATACACCTTGGAAATCTTAAAAAATTGTTACAGTGAATACTAATTTTAAAATAACCGCATATATTTACCAGACATACTTGAAGTCCACGTTTTACAGGAAATGCAGTGAGTATTGTATGTTCACACAATACTACCAAAAAAATAAAATACCATGAGTTCTGGATTACTTGTGAATGGAATAAAATTTATATTAGCTATACATTAACTTTATATTAAAATTTAGGATAACTTTGCAGGAAAAAGTGTAAAACCGCCTTTTTACCGCCGTTTTACTCTCTACAAAAAATATATTAAACAATTTTTTACATACGCTAAAAGTAAGGAATATAGATGAAATACTGTGAAAGTTCAATCTTCATTACTTTCCAACCCAAAAGACGGTTGTTTAAGTTTCAGTCCTTTATATTTTATGAAACTTAAAACGAGAAGATGGCGATTTTGTAGCTGTTGAAAAGCTCTATCAACTGACCATATTAAAATTCCTATAATCACAAGTGATCGAGGAAAAATGCCTTGCCTTTTTATCGATTTCGCTAAAAATGATCATTTTCAACCTGCATGTTTGAGGCATATAGAAAATTCTTTATAACTCAGCTAAAATCCAATATTTTGAAGTTGGATTTATTTTATTCTAAAGCAAACTAGTTCTTCTAGTACTCGCTAAAAGAGAAAATCTAATAGTTTCATTTCTTTTTCTGTACTCTCAACAAAAAAAGTCGACACTTCGTGTCGAAGTGGAGTTATATGTTTAGAAAGACATGAATTCATTGAATAGACTCTTCGAAGACAGCTGGCATGTAAAAACCCAGTTTAGTGAAAAGCCGGTTTTCCGCCTGTTACCGTCAAAAACTAAAAGCCGTATATTTCACCGATTTCTTGTCGAAAAAGACTGAAATTTTCAGGGAATGATTAGCGGAGATCATGGAAGGTACATCGGGCCGAAAAAATTACATAAGGTTTTCAGTTTATGCATACGATTTTTTAGCAGTTCTTTGGAAAGCCTCCCGCGGACCCAAACCTTCGATCAGCTTTTTCGGCTCGATCGTCATGCTGTGATCTCTGCTAATCGTTCCTAAAAGATCACCCTAAAAATTTCAGTCTTTTTGGACGAGAAATGAGTGAAATATACGGTTTTTAGTTTTAGACGGTAACAGGCAAAAAACAGACGTACACAGTGTGTCCTTGACAACGTTTGTATCTCCAGAACCAAATGAGATGAAGACCAGCGCTTAGCGTAGTCTTCAAGAGAAATGTTTTGGCTATCGACTGTTATTACTTGAGACTGGGTGTCATCGTCTGGTTTCGGAATGATACGCTTTCGGGTTTTGTTTCGAACGGTGCAGCATGCTAAACCTGATCAGACGCTCTGACTTTTTTCTAGTTTACGTCCCAGAGTGTCTAGCTTCAGAATCTTGAAACCGCAGGACTGTAGACCTCCTCGCTGAAAAGTTATAAGCATTTTGCCGGAGTGCATTTCTTTTCAAATATCGACAATAGTCACGAAATAATAGAGAATTCGTAGTCGATGGTTACCTGACCTAGATGGTGACCTAAACTAGTCAGAATAAAACAGAGAATTCGCAAGCACACCATATACATCAATACGCATTGTGATCATCTTTTGCGTACCGAAATGAATTCCCAGCGAATGCGAATTCATTTTTTAGAAAATGAAATTCTCTGCGAATGTGTATTTTACAAGCTATGAATATTATAAAAGCAATTACATCTGAATTAATCGCTTTGAATGAAATCGTCCATGAGCTGATAAAAAAACAAAACAAAATGCAAGCATCGAACATGAATGAAATAAGAGAAGCTTCTTTACCATCGTCAATGGATGCTGTTCTGTTAAGCGATGTAAACGAGGTGATTTTGAATATTACAGAAAGAATGTTAGACGTCGTTAAAACTGAGTACAATTTTTTAAAACTGTGTCAGCAATATTATTCCTATCAGCCAGCACAATAAATTACACTCAGCGATCCGGGTCAAGTCGCGTATTATGTTCCAATCCAATCCAGTATTCAACAAAGTTGAACAAATTAGGTGTTATGGACATGCTGATCAAGAATTTAAACAGGATCACAAATAAAAATTCTGCCGATAGTGATCTAATGTACAATCATCATCATGGTTCACAAGCACAACAACATCCGATTTTAAAACAAAATCGAGATTCATTGTTATTCCAACTTTATACAGATGGGGTTGGTTTAACAAATCCCATTGGTCCAAAAAAAGACTAACGCAAGATCACACTCATTTATTTTCATCTTGAAGATTACCCGACACTGTCCGATCAACGCTGAAATCAGTTGGACTTGTTGGCTTATGTTATTCGGAAATTTTATCGTCCAAAGTCAATAGAACAAAGTTTTTTCAACCGATCATCGAAGATTTAATCAAGTTACAAATGACGGGGTTATCGGTACCAACATTCAACGGTCATCTTAATTTTGCATTCAGTGTTTTAGCTGGTGACCACTTGGCTTGCAACGAAATCGGTGGATTTCAGAAACATTTCAGCAATGGCCAGTTTTGTCAACTATATCACGTATCATATGAACAAAGACTGATTCCTTTAACGAAAATATCGTTCCCTCAACGAACAACAGACGAACATGATCGTCTGGTGCAAAACGTTTTACAGATGAACAATGGCGATACTGGAAGGCGTGGCTGATCTTAGTCCCTTATCAACACTGATTGGATTCCACGCCGTAACATCATTACCAAACGACATCATGCACAACTTCGCAGAAGGTAGAAGAAAAATTAAGTTTACATTTGATTTTTTCTTTGTTTAAGTGTTTGCTGTCAAGTAATGATTCCAATGTTTACATTGTCGAAACGTCATCAGCTACATCAATATCTTCTATTGTCGTCGCCCAATTACTACAATATCATCGACGAAGGCTATTCATGCAAGCAAATGACACTGAATAAATTATCAGCGTCAATTCGTAAATTATTATATCAGAATATCCAAGGTTTCGATCATTGAACATCTATCGTTGAATATCAACGATTAAATCATGATCATGTTACATTCATCAAAGGATCGATTTTTGTCGAAAACCTTGTACACGAAGAAGAAATACCGTCTTTTGTTCATCTAATTTTTATTCTTAATATCAAAAATACGTGGATTTTAGTGGTTGAAAAACTTCTAACTATGGCTTTCAATGAAATATTTTGCTCGCATGAAGTTGAACAAACACATAAACTATCGATCCAACAGCCCAGTCAGTTAATTGGTATACTGGCGAAAGGACTTGATATATATGAAGTGGGCAATGTATCTTATGTCAACATCCTTTCACGTCTCACCAAACAATAAATAATAAGCCATAAACACAAAACATTTATACAACTGTTCTTCGAGAGATGCAAGTGAGAAAAGATGTGTAATTTGGTTGTCAGGAGCCAACTCAAACAGAGAATTGTTTATTTCTTTCCCTCCGTCGTGAAGCGAATATAGTGAGCTTTCATTAAAAAACAGAAAAAACTCGATTCAAAGTAAACTTTGTTTTTGGTATTTTTATTTCAGATTCAAACAGATGACTTTATGAAAAAAATGGACGACGGCGATGATCATCAAGATATAGATAAGAATATACAATTAATCAAGAACAACTTGGGACAACAAAGTTTTAGTTTGGATAATGTCAAACTTTTATGGAGAGAAACATTAGCTGCAAGAAGATTATATGTTTCAAACCACACGACGAAAGAAGTACTTCAAGAACATCCCGCGGTTAAAGACACATTCCGTTGGTGAGTATCTTCATGATTATTTAACGAGAACCAGTTTTCCCTTATTGAAAAGAGTTTTTTTAAAGATTTTTGCTGAAATTAGAGATGGGATGTAAGAACAACGTAACACGTTCTTGTTCTTTTCGTCTTGTGTCTTGTCGCTTACCTGTAGCGCTGTCTACTGTCGGCACATTTCCGAGTTGGTTGTGGCGCTCGCTGCGTACAGAGGGCGCCACGACCAACCCGGAAAAATGAATATAGGTAGATGGTCCACTGGCACTCACCTGTAGCGCCATCTGCGGCTGGCACATTTTCGAGTTGATTGTGGCGCCCGCTATACGTATCCCATCGTACAATGGTGACATGTTTCGAGCTTCTTATCATTATCATTCGGTCACAAATTGTGTAAGTTTCGTAAGTTTGTCTTGTCACTTACGCAATTTTTGTGAAAGCGTCTGACAGTTACACGATATATGTAAGTGTGTGAAAAGGAAAGAAAAATGACTTGCCACAAGATATTTTCTTTCGCGTTCTGTCTTGCGTCTATATATGAGAGGAACGATAAGAAATGGCGCCAGTGGTCACCACATATAGCGTACGTTAGTGGACTGTTACGAACACCGTCCCATCTCTAGCTGAAATACAATATTTGTGTCGTGTCAATATTGACGAAAATGTAACAACAATGTTGCCAAAATTATTTTAAAATATGTTGGTGGTATGGCCAACGGCAAAAAGTGCCTCCTTTCGTGCACTCTTAGGCGTTGTTTTGGGGCAAGATTTCGCGAGCCCAAAGATATCGCAAAAAAATCGCAATCAATAATTATCCATTCAAAATAAATTTGAGCATCGGCAATTCAAAATGATGTGATAAATTCAGAATATTTTTGGATTATGAACTAATTACCGAGACAACATCAGTCGATCGTGCATTGGCTGCCATTATTTCGTTATACGTTGTGTTCGATTTGCAATCTGGTGCTCATAATCGTACCATACATTTATTGTACGGAGTATTATTAGATGAATCAGCGGCGTTAACAAAACAATTGAGAAATTTATCAATAGAATGGAAATTCAAGATTAAGCATAAAGAACTACGACAAGTGGCAATGACAGTATTAACGATTGAGAGAACACAGCTAAACACAACAATAAACCTCGTTCGTGAAAATGAAGATCAAACTGATAATCAGAGAGGTGACAATGAACAAGAAACTTTGACAACAATACTCAATAAATGAAGTGCCAACATTGACACTGTCCAATAGTCCTTTTTGAGATACAACTACGACATGCATAACTGGTGTTACCGCAGACCGTGTTGCCGAGCACCCAGTCGGATCATCGTCATCGTTTATTACAACGCCACCTATTGATAATCCATCATGCTTACCTCCTCCACTAATAACACAACAATCGCCCTCATCTTATCGTCTTCCTTTATCGCCTCTCGATGGAAACGAGAAAAATATGGCAACCGACGTACAGCTACAACCGTAAATACGATACGAAACAGAAGAAGCAACGCTGGTTAGACCAGCATTGAAAAAAATCGTAAATAACATTAAATAACTATGTTCGAAGAATAAAAACAAAATAATAATAAAAACGGACAATCAGAAATTCTGGCTATATCACACAAAGATCCTGCCGCAGCCACAACAATGTTTTCAAATGGTCAAGAGAACGTCATTGGCCAAGGTGAAATACTACCGACAACTACAAAAAAACAAATACCAACTAGGAAACGTGGTGGTAGCTCTTCTATATCAGTATCAAAAACAGCAGAATATTTACGAGCTAAAAGGCCACGTCACTGACTTTGTTTCTTTTTTTCCGTCACTCTTTTTTGTGCCTTTGGTAAGGTGATATGTTTTTACAGTAGGCAAAGTCAGCTAATTGTTTTGATTATATTCTTTTTTACGCTATTTGACAATCCTTATTCACACATGTTTTTCAGTAACATGCCAGTATTCTGAGACAGGTGTCCACTTATTATAATAGTATATCCACAAGTATGAGCTACTGATTTTAGCTACTATTCATTTTTCTACGAAAAGTCGCTCCGCCACACTCATCACCAGTAAAAGATTCAGTTTCGTGAGCACACGCTATTCCTCATCACAGCGACTGATGTTTTGCTCTTTGAGATCTACTCCTTAATATGTGTGTATAATATAGGCAACTATTCACTTGAGCAAAGAAGCACGATAACACTATCAATTGCATATATCCGCTTTTTCACTTCGTCATTACGCTAGCGTAGCTTCGAAACAGACCAAATTTTATACAGTGATCTTGTCGAAATTGAGACTTAGCGAAGTAGCATCTGCTCCAAACATGCAGTGACGAATTCTTATTCGTAACGAATCCAAACTAACTGAATAAACAAAAATTCGAAATATATCCGGGTTCTTATCATGTTGAAAACGAATCTAAGGTTTTAGATTCGTACGAACATTCAGTACAAGAACTTTTTCTACCACAATATTTTCTACCTAGGTACTTGAATTCATGCACAGAAACCCTGAAAGTAAGGCGCTCGAAGTTACATCGTTATTTTATTTTCGATTTCTCTATACATGGCTAGATAGCCCGAAAACTACTGATCAAGAAAACCAAAATACTTTCAACCTTCCTAGTGCACGTTATCTGGAAGAAAACTTCAAAATACGGGTAAGATCTCTTTTTATGTCATTTTGATCAGAATTTAATTCTCTATCGATCTAGGCTAACTTTGAAAAAGTTGATTTTTTAGAAAGGTTCTCTGAAAACTCGATTTTCTAGAAAACCCGCTGAAGGATCTGTAAAAAATATGAAAAATTCCATCAATTTTCTCATGTTTTTCTACATACATAACTAAGTGTTTAGTCTTCTAGGGCCAAAACTGTCCGTTTT